AAATCCATAACATAATTTGGTCCTTTGAGAGCCAGGGTCCCATCACCTCGCGGCACCAAGAACCGACGCCGGAGGACTGTCGACGACCTAAATCTCCTCCAGCGCTGAGTTTATCTGGGGGGGGGTCGGTGTGAGGGTCTTGACGTCGCTGGGAGGAAATGCAGATCCACGAACTACTCAAGACCTGAGTGGAGAGATTTGGTGAGACAAGTTTGTTGTTTGTTGTTTGTTTTGTGGTACCGAGAGAATTCCTAGGTGACCAGCGGTTAAATTTGGTATCATCAGCCGGAAATGATGTATGGACAGTGTCGTCCGCCGGAAGGGATGTTTGACAGATGAATGCTGTCTGAGTTTGGCTTGGTTTTGAGCATTTAGCCAGAGAAACAGAAACATTGCTCTAGTCGGTTGTTGTTGTTGTTTGTTGTCTTAGATGTTGTCTGCTTTAATTGTTGTTCGAATGGATGAGAGAGTGTCTAGACTTGCTTATTCATGTAGAAAGAAGGATATGGAAAAACATTTGCACACGTCTCAAGTTGGTGGTCAGACTTTTAAACTGGTTGGCTGATAAGTGAGTCCCGCTGTGTTTAGAGACACAGTTGGAGGGCAGATTCGTGAGCCTAAATCTGACCTCACGTCGAAGATGAGACAGTGTGGTGTCTATATTGGGAAATAAGAACTCACAAAATACCTTTTGAGTAAATATTGTACATTGATGGAAATGTCAGTCCAGGAGATGTGGAAATGATCTGAAAATTATCAGAGAATTGATGGAAAACGTGTTTTTGATAACCGCTGACGTGTCACAAATGTATTATGCTTACGAGGAAGCACAGAGCGGTGGAGAGAAAAAAGGGTTGAAGATGTGAAACAGAGAGAGCACAGCCAGGCTCAAAATAACCCGAACAACAGCTGCTGTGCTCTGAGCTAATAAGGTCTTATCAGTCAAGGCCTCAAAGGTAACTTAAACTAGAACATAAAAATGAGAAATTAACTCCTTGATGCAAAGTGGTCATTACAGTGAACAGGTTCTCAAAGTTGTAATTTATTTATTTGTTTTTGCTATTAAGCACAGCTGTTGAAGACTTTATTGCATTTGAGCTCCTCCATGTGGACTTCAGTAAGTCCAGCCGGCATATTTCATGTTCAGAATGCACGCTGTCCACTGTGGTGGACATGTAGTAAATTATATGCAAATTATTAAATGTTACAAAAAATGTTTGTTGAAATTTGTTTCATTCACACCTGAAGATAAATAAAAGACATTGTTAAATAATCATGGTTGAATATTTCATAATTCCTGCATCAAAGGGTTAAGCACTGGCCAAATATTTAATTCCTGGTATTCTGGTGACAAATATAATTTGAACTATGAACTGTGCCACTTTTAGTGGCTGACAGGGAAAGGGTTTTAGTGGAACCCCTCGATTTGAGAAATTGATTGTTTATCTAAGTATGTAGGTTTTTGGTTGAACCTCTTGAACTGAGAAATTGACTGTGTGATTTAACAGTACTTCCAGACCAAATAAAACTAATGACTATTGTCAATAGCATTTTATCTCCTTATTTTTATTTATTTATTTATTTTTTATCTTTGTTTCTGACGTTTAAAACCAAGACAAGGGAGTTCAGCGGATGACTATCGCACCCGGGTGAAAATAATCTGGTGGGCAGTACCTGTTGAATTCAAAAACTGCATTTTGAACACTCTAAAAATATTGTTTGTCATCAATTGAATTTTTCTGCCATCTATCAAATGTAGGAACTTGTTCAGATCTCTGATTAGCAGACATTGTGATCAGAACAAGGGGATAAACTGTCTGGAAGTAAAATTAAAATGAGACAGCAGATTAAAGCTTTCGTAGAGAATTTTCATTTAAAAAGTTTAATTGTTTTAGTCTAATGAGCTTTGAATGAAAAGCGTCTGGACTTCTTTGAGTTGTTTGAAGACGTTTCAGTTCTGAACTGAAGAAGCCTCTCGGATGAGAGGTGAAACGTCTTCAAGCAACTCAAAGAAGTCCAGACGCTTTTCTTTCAAAGCTCATTAGACTACAATGACCTGGATGACTGAGAACCTTCACAGACATTTAATTGTTTTAATTCTTCATGTATTCCCAGATTGGGAACTTTGAAATGCTTTGACACAGTGTGTCTGGTTTAAACAGCAAGGTCGTATCCGAAAAACGTACACATCCTATTCTATCAGCCAAGAAGCTGAAGCAGAAAACAGAAAGGCTTTGAGAAATAACTGCTGGAAGAAAATGTAAAAACATAAATAAGTTGCTGTTTTAATTTAAAAATGGGGTTTGCACACCTTGAAATTTAGTATGAAGCTACTGAACGGTTGATTGTGTTCACCCGTCCTCTCTGGAATGTAAACATTTGCCCATGTTTTGGGACCGGTTGAGATTAGGCTAAAGTTGACACAGCTTGTTCAAACTTGTACACCGTAGAATCTGGAGAAATAAGTTATGTAGTTTCGGACTTATTGCTGAACACATCAAATAGAACATTTTTGCCAATGCCCAAATATTTGATTCATTTATGGGGCATACAGTATGATCCGCCTTCAGGCAAGTCAGCCCCGCCTGTCCAAGAGGCTCCGTCCCTGGCGCACCAGCCCGTCCAGGAGGTTTTCCCTGCAGATTCTTCATCTCCTCATCCTCCAGAGTCTGAGTCCCCTCTTCACCCCTCAGTGTCCTCATCTCCATTGTCCCCTCTTCAGTCTTCATTGTCCCCTCTTCAGTCTCCAGTGTCCCCTCTTCAGTCTCCAGTGTCCCCTCTTCAGCCCTCAGTGTCCCCATCTCCAGTGTCCCCTCTTCAGTCTCCAGTGTCCCCTCTTCAGTCCCAGTGTCCCCTCTTCAGTCTCCAGTGTCCACTCTTCAGTCTTCAGTGTCCACTCTTCAGTCTTCAGTGCCCCCTCTTCAGTCTCCAGTGCCCCCTCTTCACCCTCTTCCAGAGTCTTTGTCCCTTCCTCACCTCCAGAGTCTTCATTCCTTCCTCACTCTCCTCCAGAGTCTTTGTCCCTTCCTCACAAGTCTCCAGAGTCTTCGTCCCTTCCTCACCCTCCTCCAGAGTCTTCGTCCTTTCCTCAGCAGTCTCCAGATTCTTCATCCCTTCCTCACCCGTGTACAGAGTCTTTGTCCCTTCCTCACCCGTCTCCAGTCTTCGTCCCTTCCTCACCCGTCTCCAGAGTCTTCGTCCCTTCCTCACCTGTCCCCAGAGTCTTTGTCCCTTCCTCACCCGTCTCCAGACTCCTCGTCTCTTCCTCACCCGTCTCCAGAGTCCCCGTTCCTTCCTCACCTGTCTCCAGAGTCCCCGTCTCTTTGTCCTCCTCCAGAGCCCCCGTCTCTTTGTCCTCCTCCAGAGTCGTCGTTCCCCCAGACTCCCCTGGTCCCAGCTCCTGGTTCCCTGTCGCCGGCCCCCCAGACTCCCCTGGTCCCAGCTCCTGGTTCCCTGTCGCCGGCCCCCCAGACTCCCCTGGTCCCAGCTCCTGGTTCCCTGTCGCCGGCCCCCCAGACTCCCCTGGTCCCAGCTCCTGGTTCCTTGTCGCCGGCCCCCCAGACTCCCCTGGTCCCAGCTCCTGGTTCCCTGTCGCCGGCCCCCCAGACTCCCCTGGTCCCAGCTCCTGGTTCCCTGTCGCCGGCCCCCCAGACTCCCCTGGTCCCAGCTCCTGGTTCCCCGTCGCCGGCTCCCCAGGCTCCTCTGGTCCCTGGTCCCCTTGTCTTTTGTTTTTCTGTTGTTTTGTGGGCGTCTGGGTATCCGCCCCTTTGGGGGGGGGGGGGGGGGGGGGGACGGACTGTCATGGTCTGCGTCTGCATCTCCCTCATGTGTCTCCCTGTGTTCCTCATGTGTCCCCTTGTCTGCAGCCCCTCCAGGTTCTCCCTCCCAGGTATCCCCCCAGGTCCTGTGCTCCTGTTGGTCTCCCTTAGTCACCCCTCTGTGGCTTTTCTATAGGTTCAGTCTTTCATTTAGTCTCTTTTAGTGTGTTTCTGTTCCCACCGGTTTTTTAGTTCTCCTTCCTCCTTAGATCATTAGTTATTTATCTTGCTCTTCTTGTCTTTAGGTTTTGTTTTTATACTTAGGTCATTTTATTTTCCCCTCCTCAGCTCATTTTCCTCTCCCTGATTAGTTAATTGATTTCACTAGGTTTCTCTCCCCACGCACCTGCAGCTCATCTTCCACTCATCCTGCCCCGGTGTATTTAACCCTGTCTGCGTCTCAGTGTGGGGTTAGTTCATTGTGTCAGCCTCGTCCCGTCCACCTCTCTAGGTTTTAGTATCTCTCTAGGTGTCTTGTGTACTTGGATTTCTCTAGGTTTTTATAGTAGGATTTTTGGACTTTGGTTTTTGGCTCCCTGCCTCCTTGGGATTTACTCATTAATAAAGGATTTTACCTTTTTTCCACCTCCTGCCTCGTGTCTCTGGTTCTGCAACGTGGGTCCTAACCTTCCTCCAAACCCACACCCTGGCATCATCAAAGGCACTAAGACCACATATGATGGATCTCTCCTCTCACATTTTTAGTAGGGGGTTCCCATTTTACTACATTCATGATGAATAAAAAGTGTTTTTGAAATAGCCACTTTTCTATAGATTTGACTGAATGTTTAAACTCAGTATTTTAGTTGGGTTTACGTTGAAATTTTTTGTCACTATTTCAAATTAAATGTGACACAAAAGGATTAAAAGTAAAAGACCCCATTTTTAAAATGGAAATATGACTAAATCTAGCCATTAATTTATAGTGCAAAAAAACTGCTAAAACAGCAGAAAATATGAGGGTTTTTTTAAAGGGGGGGTGCAATTGTTTTCTAAGTAGGAAAACATCAATATTTCATACATTATTTATGACATTTTCTCTAGAGGACTCAAACACAAGACTGAAGGAGGCAGATGATTCAGATTAACCTTTAATCAAAGAAAATCAAAACATTGGTAATTCAAAAAACTAAAGAGACAACAGAAAACAACTAACAAGAACTAAATGACAAACAAAACTAAACCACACTCCACCAGATACAAACTAAAAATCACATATCATGACAACTTGCACATTTTGGTTTTATTTAACTTAATAACCAGAATTATTGCTAAAATGTTGTGTTGTTCTACACGTCTAAGATAAATGATAACCACTGTTACTGTCTCTGTAACTAATAAGAAAGCATGTGACCGTAGAGATATTTCTGCATGTCTGCTGGGTAAGTCAGCCAGTTCCAAATACTTTTGGTGTATTTTTTTATTCCTCAACCTCCAGCTGTTTTAAATATTTATAGAAAATTAATCTTTCATAACTTTACCCACGTCTGTGTGTAATCAAACTTTTAATTGGGTCTAAAAAGAGTCAGGAAGCAGACTGCAGGAGTCATAAAGAAGCTCACAAGAATGAGACCCATTCATCTACTGATCTGAACTTTCACTTCACCTATTTCACTTTTGTAGACTCAATCATGACGTTGATCCTACACAAAGATGGGTAGAAATGTGAAGCTTCAGCTTTCAGAAAATATACTAACAACAGTTTGCTGTCATCAGAAATAGTTCAGGAAGTATTTCAAATTATTTTTGAAACTTTTGATGTTAGTTTTTTGTACCAACTTGACACAACCACTTTCAAAGAAGCACAAGAACAAACTTCTGCTTTTCTCTAATAGATATTTTTAGGAAGTCTCTACTGTCCCCCTGTGGGCAGACTGGACAGCTTCTTCTGTTTGTTTTTAACAATAATAATTATTATTAGTAGTATGTAATAAAAAAAAATAATAATAATAAATAGAAATATTTCTTCTCCTTCATAATGCTGATATATTTATTTCAATCTTCCCCCAGATCGTTTAAATTATTTAGCTTCCCAGGACAACACTACACAGACATCGACCTGAATCATGACCTAGTACATTCTGTACTGGTGGTGGTATAATAATGGTTTATTGGCTGGGCCAGGCTCACCAGATAAAATCCCCTCATTGTTTCAGATCATGTGACGCAGGATATAACAAGCTGTACTAAATGAGCTCTGATCACGTCTCAGCCACAAGGACATTGGACCACATGCTCAACAGTCTTCATCAACTCTGATCGTCCGCCGCAGGTTTGCCTGCAGAATGTTCTTGAAGGTCACATTCCAGGAAGATGCACAGAAACATTATCAACGTGTTTTTTGTTTAATCGCACAGAGAATTAGTGTTCTAGTACATAATTTAGAACATTTCAGGTCAAACGCTGTTGTGTTTTCAGAGACCACGACTCAAAAAAAAACAAACCCAAATAAGGAGAATTTCCATCTTTTCAGGGCATTGAAACAACAATAAAAGCAGCTCAAGTTTCTTCTTCCATATCATCATCAGTGTAGAGGTGGGGTCCAGCTGAATCAGGTTTTATAGCCTTGTTGGTATAACGTAAGCTGTCAGGTAGTTTGAACCTGTAAAGATCAGATGCTGGCTCTGAATTTACCTGAGCCCTGCTGCCAGCTTCTCCATGGCAGCCTTCCGCTCCTCGGCTTTCTGCTGTGAACGTCGCAGGACGTTCCTCAGCTCCTGGAGGTGGTCCAGTGTTCCAACCAGCTCCCCTTTCACTGTTTTCATCTGGGTTTCCAGCATCTGAGTGTGATGGAGTGAGTTCCTTCTGTATCTCCTGCTGGAGCGAACCTTCTCCTCCAGGTCCTCCACTGCAGCAAGCAACAGAAACAGTCAAAAATGCAATTTAAATCATTTCTAAAAATCAGTGATTTAAAGTGTGGGAACAGACCCAAGTTCTCCTGGTAGCCTTTGGTCTCTGGACCAGGTTCTGTCTTCTTCTCCATCAGGCTCTTTGTTTGCTGCAGCATTTTCTCCATCTTAGCAAGCTCTGCAGCTTTGGTGTCGCTGTCCCGCCGAAATCTCAGCAGCTCCTGCTCCTTCTGTGTCAGCTCGCTGTGAAACCCACTCATGTTAGAGGCCGAAGAGCTGAGCAGCAGAACCCAAAACTCCACACTGGGACTCAGCAAGAGCTGCAACACAACAGCCAACAGGTTATTAAAGACACAACAGGAGGAAAACGCCTCAAAGATGAGCTTCTGGTTTCTAAAAACGCTCCACAAATAGGAGAAGCACAGAGCTGAATGCTGGTCTGTGTGCAGTTCAGTTGTTCTACCGAAGGGTTCATGCTTTTTATAGGCTGTACCCTCAGCACATGCCAGAAAGTCATCTGAACACAAACCAAAACAAATATCCAGTCATGAGACAACATCCCTTAAGTTATATAGTTATTTTTTCACTTGCTCAGTAATAACTCTTGTGCAGGAAATCTAAATTAAACATGAATAAGGGAGATAAATGAGGGAAGTGCTGACAAACAATGCTCTGGATCTCTTGGTTGTGCATCTATATTTATGCCCCGCTCTTGTTTCTTTCAACTGAGAAACATTTCAAAAGTCTGTAAACTGGTTTCTACTGCAGATCTGGAAAAAATCATCCATGCCTTTGTGTCATCACGCTTAGACTACTGCAACGCTCTTTTTACTGGTCTCAGCAAGACCTCCCTCTCACGCCTTCAAGCCATCCAAAATGCAGCAGCCAGACTCCTAACCAAATCCAGCAGACGAGCTCACATCACTCCAGTTTTACAGTCCCTCCACTGGCTCCCGGTAGAATATAGAATACAGTTTAAAGTTTTAGTCCTGACCTATAGAGCTCTTAACAACCAGGCTCCAAGCTACCTATCTGAGCTTTTATCCCCACACACCACCTCTCGGAACCTTAGATCCACATCTGAAAACCTCCTGGCTGTTCCTCGAACCAGACTGAAAACCAAAGGGGACAGGGCCTTTCAGACTATTGAACCCACACTTTGGAACAGTCTACCTTCAAATCTCTGTCTCTCTAACACTCTAGAAATCTTTAAAAATCATCTAAAAACTCACCTTTTCATCCAGGCGTTCCCTCCCTAAATGTTTCAGAATGATGGCTTTGTTCGGGTTCACACCTTCACTTTGTTTTTACTCCTGATTTTATTTTCTACTTTATCACTGCTATTGTTTTTCTGATGTTTTTATTTGTTAGAGGTATTTGCCCTGATCTTTTTCATGTTGTACAGCGCTTTGTGATTTATATCTGTGAAAGGCGCTCTATAAATAAACTTTTACTTACTTACTTGCTTATAGATGAGAACATTACACGAGACATGAACTTCTAAAATGATTTTGTTTTCAACTCTGCTTTGACATCCTTGGAGATTGGCCTGGCTGTCATCTTTAGCATCACAAGAGTTTCATTTCACTAGCCAGAATGAAGGGCTTTTGTTGACACTGAACAAGATGGAAGTCTCAGCATTGAAGCCTACAGGAATCCAACTCACACAGACCAGAATTTGCATTTCGACTCACATCACCCACTGGAGCACAAAATGTCATTAATCAGGACTTTGCATCACCGGGCCGAGAATATTCCCACAAAGACTGAAGGAAAACAAAAGGAAGAACAACATATCAAGAAAGCTCTCCAAAATTGCAGATTCTCTAACTGGGCCTTTGTGAAATCTACAAAGAAGTCTAGAAAAGCATCCACAGCAGCTACCAGCTGTCACGATCTGCCCCTGCCTTCCTGACTGTGTTCCTCTCCTGCCCTGATTAGCCCTTATTGTTCTCACCTGCCCCTCGTTAACCTGCCCATGTGTTCCTGATTTCCCTGTGTATTTATACCTCCCTCCTTGTGCCAGTCTTTGTCAGATCATTGTTGTTTGTCGTGTTGTTCTCGTTGTTCCTGCCGTATCCTGTCATTAAACCCATTTTTACTTTATCCGTGCCTGCATTCCTGCCTCCTGGAACTCTCCACCACACGTGGTCCACCAACTCCTACAGCTCAAAATGACACCAGCAAAGAAAAGGACAACAGGTGCAAAGACACCGTCGTTCCATACGTGGCAGGAGTCTCAGAGAAACTTAGAAGGATCTTCTCCAAACACATCCCAGTAAACTTCAAACCCAGCAACACCCTCAGACAGAAAATGGTCTGTCTAAAAGTCAAAACACCCAAACGGAAGCTCAGCGGCGTCATTTATGCAGTTCAGTGTAGTGAGGACTGTCCAGATCTTTACATTGGGGGAACTAAACAACAATTATACAAGAGCAAGGCACAGCACAGGACACCCACCTCTTCAGGTCAAGACTCTGCAGGCCACCTGCACCTGAAGGACAAGGGACACGCTTTTGAAAATGACAAAGTGCACATTCTGGAAAAAGAAGATAGATGGTTTGAGAGAGGAGTGAAATAAGTTATCTATGTCAAACGTGAAAAACCCCATTTTAAACAGGAGAGGGGAGCTTAGATTTCACCTCTCCAGTACCTACAATGCAGCTTTGAATCTCAGTTTCAGCCTAGGTCACAACTTCCTGCATCTAATCAACACAACGACTCATCAGGGGATGGAGAGGAGGGGTACCCACAATAGTTTCGGCTCCTTAAATAACAACAGACAGCTACAGCTTATAAACTTGACTCTCCCATATTCCAGTTAGAGCTGACTAAGGTCCTCGGATGAGAAGTGAAACATATTGTAGAAACCAGAGTAGTCCAGTTGCCTTCATTTGAACCTTTTGGTTTTGTTGACGTCTTCGACTAGCAGTTCAAGTGCAAGACATCACGAACACATCAGAGATGAGATCAGAGCAAATCTGTCTATTTAGCTTTGTTGTCCCTGCTGAAAAATCATTATAGACCAGCATTGCTGTTCACCAGCGTTTGTTGTGTTTTGGTGTTTGTTTACATTTATCCAGGATATCACCAGCTTCCCATGCTGGACCAGCATACCGACACCTACATATGGTCTGTGTTGTTTTTTTCAGCAGAGGTGAACTCCAGATATCCAGGAATCAAAACCTCAGATGACTCTTTTTCATCCAGAAAAAAACTGAGCTTTAGAAACAGGATCTGTGGTCCAGGTTCGAGCGAAAACCAGGTTTCTATCTTTAATCTGTAGCTTCTAAAACCTCTGCTGAGCAGTAGAAAATAAATAGATGGTACACTGCTGCTGGTGGTCAGAGGGACCGGTGGCACCAACGTACAGCTGCCTCGTTCCTGTCAGTGAGCCCCAGAGCAGCTGTGGCTACAGCGTAGCTCATCACCACCAGGGTGTGAATGTGTGTGTGCGTGGGTGAAAGACTGGTTGTGTTGTAAAGCGCCTTGGGGGGGTTCTAGAACTCAAGCAGGTGCTTTATCAAATACAGGCTACTTACCATATACTCTGTGTAGCTCCATTGGGTAGAGAACATCAGCAGTCACCAGTAGCCGCTACCTTCATCAACAGGGTAATATTATATTTTTGTCTGACTGTAAAGCTGGACAGAATGGTCAAATATAGAAATCAATGCAGCCTCAGGAGAAGCTAACATAAAACAGTAAAATCAAAGCTTCAGTACTAGAGCCAAGAGCACCCGAGGCTGTGATCCCTGAACTGGGAGAGTGGGTCCATCAAATCAGCAAAGCATCTTCAAAACCAACAAAAGAACTCTGCTTTAATGAAGAAAAAGGGGTTCTCTTAGATTAGCCATGTGCTAAGATGCTGCAGGACTAGCCTCTGAGAGAAGATGAGTCTGAAGTGCAGCAGTCACCAAACATGGACCGAATCAATCTTATACAACATTTTAGTTGCTGTTGTTTTTTAAAAACGTGTTTCACAATTAATTATAAGGTAATGATTTACAAAGCATTGTGGACCATTCATCCAGTCCTCTTCAGAACCTGTCAGTCCTGAGTGGTGTCACAGGGAGATAGGTAAGTGGGTGGATGTTTTTTAGAACAGAAAGGAGCGCCTTGATCTGTTTTTAGAAACACGTGGTTTTAGGTGGATGGTCTTTTTCTGCTGTCTAACTCTTTAATGTCACCAGTTATTAGATGAGGCTCAGATCTGAACAGAGGTGCTTTTCTTTGATGTGTTGCTAGCACACATGTATAGAAGACCTTATATTTGAACATACAGAGTAAATAATGATGCATTTTTTACATAAAAAATTTAAAAAAATGGTTTGTTTTGATCAGAAAGGTTTGCAGTTTTGTGAATTAGATGTTAATAATGTTAGAATTCATTTGTTGGCCCAAATAAACATAATTCTGTAATGTGTTTGGCATCAACACTTGATTTTTTTTTTTTGGGGGGGGGGGGGGGGGTTGGGGCAGTTCTTGTTTTATTTCTGTACAAACCATGTCAGTTATCTAAAAATAAAGTTATAAGAACTATTGATGTTCTTATTCATTGAATAATTCAATTTCTCATCAGCTTGTGTTTGGTTGCCACTGGTATTGCTGTGTTAGACTCCCTGCCCGAACTTGCCACCTCCCAGGATGTTTGTGGCTTCTTGTGACTCTGTCTCTCTGCCCACTTTTATCCTGTGGGCCGGTCACATGAAAAAATAAGAAATAAATAAACACAAAGTCAGTTCTATTTTTAAAATACTGAACCAAACTTGAAAACAGCAAATGACGTAATGTTCAGTCAGTCTCTGTAGAGAATGAGAATTTGACATGCTGTCAAAAGCAGCATTAACTGTTTCCAGAACAGGGGCCTCATTCATCAAGCTTGCTTACGCACAAAACGGGGTCGGAAAACTGCGTGAGCAACTTTCCACGCAAACTTTGGGATTCATGAAAGAAAACTTAGCGGAAAAATAAGCGCAACTTTAAGTTGACTAAGGACCTTGCTTACGCAAATTTTGGACATGGAGAGCACCTGCAGTGCTGCTGCTGAGAAGGATAAAATTATGAATTCCAGCATCATTATTACCTGTACCACTTTGTGCGCACACAGAACAAGCCCCCCTACACGCACAAACACACACACACACACACACACACACACCCTGAAGCGCAGAATATGGAATGCTGAATATCAGCAGGGGGACAGATTGAGACAGAATGTTATGAGTCTGCGACAGTGTGAGCGTTCTGTCACTGTGACCCGATTGATCATGCGCCCTGGTTACTTGGCCAAGTGAGTTTTTGTTTGGCTTACTGGTAAGTGTGCGTGACTCTCAACTGGGAGTCTGGGGAGCGAATCCCAGTCGGACAATTTTTTTATATCCGCCATAGATCTCTCTGAAGAACTCCCAGCATTGACGGCTTCAGCAACGCTGTGCCACTCCATGGATTTTCTCTTATTTGTTTTGCAAAATCACTTCCTTTCATTTCTCCACCTCACCCACAATTACCTCAATTTCTGCTTCTGTGAAATTGTGCTTCCTTGATCTGCCTTGATCTATGGTTGCCATATCATTGGCGGAGCGCTGCAACAGCCGGCTTATGTATATGCATGAGATCCACAAGGCACTTTGCATTGACCATTTATGGCAGAAAGTGGGCGTGGTGAGGGCGGGATGTGACTAAAAAGCAGCTGAGAAATATTGTCGTTAGTCTTCGATTTATGAAGCTGAGATTGGGTTAGGGTTAGGGTTAGTTTTAGTAAGGATACTACGCAATGTTTGATAAATGAGGGTCTCATTTATCAAACACTGTGTAGAATCCTTACTAAAACCGCTCTTAAGCTCAGCAAAAAAAAATGTACTCACGCCAAGTAGGTTTGTGATCTATCAAACATGAAGTATGCACAGCTGCACGCAATCTCCGCTTCATAAACATCTTTAGTTCACGTGGTTCTGACTGCCATATGCATCGCCAAGAAAACTATCCTCATGAAGTGGAAAAAATAGAGATACTCTTTGCATTAACCAGTATAGAAATCTTTTGTTAGATCATATTACATTTGATATAGCGTCTGCTTCCACTTCAAATCAATCTCTCTGGGCTCCTTTGATCGGTTCCATCACATAGCAGTGATGGGGGATCATTAATATTGTCCTGCGGGATGATGTGTGTGATGGGGTGAAGGGTCTGAGTTTGGGGTATCCGGACGTTCCCTGGAGGTGGGTTCACTGGAGGTGTCTGGGACTGGGGGGCTGCTGCCCCCCTCTGGAGGTGCTTGGGTTGCCTCGGGGGGTGGACTACTGGTGGTTGTGAATGGGGCCCCTTGGGGGTCTTGGCGGTGGCCATGGGTCACTGCCTGGCAGCTGCATTGCCCCTGAGAGGGTCTGTGTGGGGGCCTGGGGCCTCGGGGTGTGGGGGTGGCCGGCCCCATGTGGGGATCTGGGCGGGGCATTGGGGGTCGGGTCCTGACATGTATGCTGCCGGGAAGAAGGCAGGAAAATGTGGCAGTGCCTGGCCTGGGCTCAGGGGCCCCGGGTAGACCTTGGCTCCTTTGCTGTTCCATCACATGGGAGGGGGATGTCCAGGAGGGGGAGGACCCAACCTTACCTGGATGTCCAATGTCTTATATATCTGGATGTTGTGCAAATGCAGGGATGGGAGTAGATATTCTGCTGGGGTGGGGCTGGGTTGGTGCCCTCAGACTCCGTGAGGCTCTGTGATGCTGCTGCTTTGGGCCTGGCAAGATGGGCTGGGGTCTCTATGCCCTGGGTGGCATTTTTGCAACAGAGGTGCTTACTGGGGCCAGTGGGGAGCTAGCTCCCTGGAGGACCTAAGTCCAACCAGCCATTCCTCACCATCCCCACACATTTTTCTCCTCCTGCTCCCTCACATCATCACACAAACATGCACATAGGACCTTGGGGGTGGACAAGTCAGGGAGTGCAGGTATGGACCCCATTTCCACATTCCTGTGGCAACCTGCCCCCCAATTTTATTTGCACATTAAACACTTCCACCGACGATATTCCACGCAAACACACACTTAGGGCCTTGGGAGTGAACACATTCAACGGCATTTGGCAGGGGGATTTTTCAGCCTCATCCCGAGTGCCGGTGCCCACTTCCAATTTTAAATTGCACTTAGACACTGAGGGCTGTGGGTGCAAGTGGGGTGGTGTGGTGGCATCAGCTGGTGTAGGCCAGACGATGCCCGCACTGCCCGCTCACCACTGCCATGGAATACACCTCATCAACACGCACTAACACCATATTGGAGCAGGCGGAGGGAGACTAGGGGTCTTAGCACACATCTGTTGTCGCTTGGCTTCCCGGGGCTGGAGGCTAGGAGGGAGATCTGGCTGTCTGGTTGGGGTCTGGGGTGGTGGGTTGCTTTGCTCAGCGTTGGGCGGGGGAGCCTGCTCATCAGCACCCCAGCAGAAAGGGTCGAACTCTGGGAACCGGTAATGGTTATACCCCATGTGCAGCAGTACC